TGTTTTCTGTCCACTTCTATATATATATATATATATATATATATATATGAATGAAAAATGTTTTTGCCTGTAGTGTCTTGCCTTAAGTTTGTTAGTGTTTTTCAACATTAACTTTATTATGTTTACATTACCTTTGCCATCATAACGCTCACTTAAACAAAATGAGCATGTACAATTGAATGTCCACAATCCACCAATAGTAATAAATCTAACATCCCTCTTTGGTGATTGGTTTGGTATGTACAAATCCAAGGCACTTACCGACAGGAGACATTTCGGGTACTTGAGCATTGTAAGGGCCATCCAGGAACTTGGGCTCATTGTCATTGATATCCTGCACTTTGATAACAAATTCAGACTCTGGTTCGACTGGCAGGTTGGTGACACGGTCTTGGGCCTGAGCTCGCAGCGTGTAGTAGGCCTGTTCCTCCCGGTCCAGGCGCTTCGTGGCATGAATGTCGCCTGTGTTCTCATCAATGGTGAAAATAGAGGTTGCACCTTCACCAGTGAGCACGTATTTTACTTTGCCCTCACCTTTGTCCACATCCGAATGAAGCTACAGGGAAAGAAGAAATGAAAAAAAAGTAATTCATATCTATTATCATTGTAACAGTTGTCTAGTTAGCATTGTAATTAATGAACAATGTCAGTAATTGTGTTTACTCGTGAGAAAGTATTTCTGCAGTGTTTTAAATAATAAATGGGGATATACCATCTCCAGCAGATTTGTGCAAGTCAACAAAAAAGAATGGACTGAATAAATGTCAAATCTCACACTGTTAGCGATTTCTGTAAATTACACAATATTTAACTGTAATATGAACTGTACTTTACTGTAAAACAGTTATACAGTACGTTACTGTATTTTAAAGTTGCATTATGGGAAATATCCTCTTGGCGCCATTAAAATACAGTATTTTTCATTTACTGTAAATCCAAATACAGTAAAAAAAAAAAATGAGCGCGAAACCTGACCAATGACAGAAAGGCTTTTTTTTCTGCTTGGAGAAAGAAGAAGAAGAAGAAGAAGAAGAAGAAAAGAAAGACACACACACCTAGCAGCTGCAAATGTATGTACAATATTCCTGCTTTTTTGTTACATGTTTTATGTCAGTGTAATTTTAGGGGTTATTTGTTGGTTTAATTAAAAGCAAAATAATCATAATAATAATAACAAAACGCTGACGCTGCACGACGCGCAGTTTCCTCACGGTGTTCGTTGGTAGAGAGCGGGAAAACTCATTTGAGAGTGAAGAGAACTTTCTGTGCAAAAAAAGATCTTTCTTTCTTTTCTTTCCTTTTTTGTAGAAAGTTTCAATCATCAAAGTGCGAACATAAGCAGGTCTCTGTCTTCGTTTTGACCACGTCGGTAGCAGGTGAGTTTTTATGTGAACTTGTATGAAATTGTTGGCCAACAAACTGAGCTTTTAATGGTACAGCCGTGTAATCGCTTCACGCTACCCATATCTAAGTGTATAAATGTACTATGAAGGTAGAATGACGTCAAAAAGATTTGCATACGCAGGTAAGAGTTGTGGAAGTGTACATAAGACTGTAAGCGTAAATTAAATTTGCATGCGCAAGAGAAGCTTTGTAAAG